CAGATAAGACTGAAGCAACTTGGCACGTATACATATTTAATTATTAGATTATTTTTTTTGGTGAGAGTTTTTTTATTATTATTATTATTTTCACTTATTTCATATCTATTAGAATTTTCCAGGCAAGAATACTGGAGTAGATTGCCATTTCCTTCTCCAGGGGATCTTCCCAACCCAGGAATTGAACCCAGGTCTCCCATGTTACAGGCAGACTCTTTACCATCTGAGCCACCAGGGAATCCCTGGTGAGAGTTTTTTTTTAATTGATTAGAAAATGCAGAGTTCCTACATACTCTCCTTCCCCTACCCCACAGTTTTCCCTGTATTAATATCTTAGAGGGGTTCATTTGCTATAACTGATGATACCATATTATTAACTGAAGTCCACAGTCTACATTAGGGTTCACTGTTTGTGTTATATATTCTCTGTGGTTTGACAAATGTGTAATGACATGTGTCCATCATTACAGTATCACACAAAATAGTTTCACTGCTCTACCTGTGCACTCCACTTTCAACCCCTGGCAACCACTAATCCATTTACCACTTCCATGATTTTACCTTATCCTGAATGTCATATGGTTGAAATCATACAATATGTAGCCTTCTCTCATTGACTTTTGTCGCTGAGCAATATGCTTTTAAGGTCCCTTCATGTGTTTTTATGGCTTGATAGCTCATTTCTTTTTGTGAAAAGTGAAAGCGCTCGTTCATATCTGACTCTTTTGGACCCTATGGACTGTAGCCCGCTAGGCTCCTCCGTCCATGGAATTCTCCAGGCAAGAATACTGGAGTGGGTAGCCATTCCCTTCTCCACGGGATCTTCCCAACCCAGGGATCAAACACAGTTCTCCCACATTTATTTTTACTGCTGGGTAATAGTCCATTATTAGGATGAACCCTATTCCTCCATTCACCTGGGACCCATATTTCTAACCTGTAAAAGAAGACTGTCCAGCTCTACTTTGGACAGTTGTCATCAGAAGATGACGCAGGTACAATGTTCAGCATGGTGCCCTGCAAACCACCCCCTCTACCTTCCATAACTAGCTTCTTTAACTTTAGCATAATGTTTTCAAGATTCATTCACATTGTATTAATAGCATGTATCAGTGTCTTATTCCTTTTTATTGTAACCTTGGGTCCTTTTTGTGCTGTTCTATCTACTGCCCATTCCTCAGATAGGTAAAATAAGTCTCCAAGCACACAGCATGTCAGTAGAAGGAGACCAGGCTGATAGCCAGGCGCTGACACCTGGCTTGAGACTCTTTCCACTGTCAGGAGAGCAAGCAGACCTGGGCCCGAAGGCAGCAGGACCTGGGGGCAGTGAGGGCCTGGCCACTGGCCAGTCGGGGGGAGGGATGAAGAGCCAAGGAGTGGGGAGCCAAGGAGTGGGTGAGTTGCATTCCCAGGGTATAAGGGTGGGCAAGGCCCCTGGAGGTACGCCCACCTCCAACATCCTTCACCCACTCCATAGCAGACACTCACTCCATCTCCCTCCTGACTCCCTTCCCTGTGCAAACAGGATGCTGTGGAAGTTCAGGTTAAGAGGTGAGGCTTTCTCTTGTCCCAGAGCCAGCAGGGCTCCAGGCTGGAGATTTCTTTGGAACTTAGCTGATAGCAACAGCCCTGGGAGGTGGCTTGGAGAACCAACTGGTGCGAAGTGATGCCATTAGTCTGGGCAGGAGGGGGATGGGTGTGGAGAATCTGGTCTCTGGGGACTTGTCCCAACCACTCAGGGTCTGGGCAGCATGTCTTTGTTAGCAGAACTTCCGGGCCCTTTCAGAAGGAAAGGGAGGCCCCCAGGACTGCCCTGTGCTTGCCACTGGGGAGATGGGAGCAACGCAGGTTGTTCCCTGGGGGAGGCAGGCATGTCATCTGTGCTCCCACAGGCAGCCCAGGAGGGAGGAGGGACTCCTGGAGCCGTCTCACCCAACCTGGGTCTCAGGGAAGGCTCCCCAGAGGAGGTAACATCTGAGTGGAGACTTGAAGGGTCAGGAGGCATTAGCCAGATGAAGGGACAGCAAGTTCTGGAGTGGTGAGGCTGGAGGAGCCAGATCCTGGTCATTTGTCTTTTAGGAAAATCTCTGGCTGCAGGTGAGAGCTTAGATTGGCCAGGCCAGGGCCACCACAGGGATTCTCCACCCAGAGGAGAGATGACACCTGGGCAGTGGCCAAAGATCTGGTGAGAAAAAGGCCTTGAGGGATGTTAGAGGCACGTTAGGTGTGGTGAGGTGGTCGCTGTGCCAGTGTGGGTCTGGGTGGCCCCCCCGAAGAGAGCAAGGAGCTGCTGGTGATCTTGATGGCCCCAGGAAAATGTGCAAAGGAAGAAGAAGTTTGCCTTTCAGAGGTACCACTGCAGTTATGAATAAATAGAATGAAAATTCGTGGCAGGTAGGGGGTGAGAGGGGAACAGTTCCAAGAGCCCCGGTCAGTCAAGTCCTGGGCTGAGACCTTGGTGCAGGCAGTTCTACTTCCCTCTTTGCCAGACTTAAAATGGAAATTCCATTCCTGGGTGGGTTGTAATGCTCAGTCGTGGGGGGTGGGGGAGCAGAGGACACAAGGGAATCGGTCCCGGGGTCAGGGGGGTCCTGGGAAAGGAATGTGAGGGCAGGGCTCCTGCGTGCAGAATGCCCACCTGCTCTACCTCTGTCATTGCAGCCTTGTGGCCCCTGCCACCGGCTCTCCCTCACCCCCCAGGCATCTGACTTTTTTTTGGAAGTCAAGACAAAAGCTGAAACCAAGGCTCAGGGAAGAGCCCTGAGTGGCTCTGGCTACAGGGCCAGTCATTGGCCAAGGCAGGGTGAATCCAGGCCTCTTTCTACATATACCAGCTGCCTCCCCCATTCCTGGGGAAGTGTGATGGCCAACCTGACAGTAGCGGTCCTCATCTGGGGGTGCACAGGGTAAGATGTGGTTCCCTGGCTGTGGATTCTGCTCTTTTATCCCCTCTGGAAGGCTGTGGATGTGGGGGTCTGTATATGAGTACACACTCCTTTTTTAAAAATTATTTACTTGGTTGCACTGCGTGGCTTGTGGGATCTTAGTTCCTCCATCAGGGATTGAACCCAGGCCCTTGGCAGTGAAAGCATCAAGTCCTAACCAGTGGACCACCAGGGAATTCTCACCCTGACACACTCCTTCTAGAGAGGAATAAAGAAAAAATGAGAGGGTCTCCTACCTGCTGACCCAACCCCATGGGGGAGCTAAGCTGACTGCAGCAGCATCCCCATCCAATACTGTCGCCCCGAGCCCTAGACTCGGCTCAGCTTAGAGAGCCCCCAGCATCTGTTCTGTGTCCACATGCCTCCCCAGGGAGACATAGGCACAGGCTGCACCAGACAATTCCCAGCACTAAGGCAGCTGCAGGTCAGTCAATATTCCCAGCAAGCTCCTAATCTGTCCCTGCACTCACAGTGGAGGCTGTAATCCCTGTGCTGAGGCTAGCACTTGGGGAGTGGGGGTGGTGGGGTATTGGGCAGAGGCCCTGAGTAAGGTGCAGATGTGGAAGTCGTTGGTGGGCCTGAAGCCCAGTGCCCCTGTGCTGTAGCCCCTGGGGAGCCAGAGAGGGAGCTCATCCTACAGTCCTCCGCTCAGCACCGTCTCTGGGAACCGTGCCCTGACCCTCCTGTCCCTGTTGAGAGCCCACGGCACCCTTTCTTCTCTCCACCACATGCTGCACTTATGATCCCTGGTCATGAGCCACTGTGCTCTGTGGTGGCAGGGTCAGCAGGCTTTCCCTGTAAAGGGCCGGGCAGGGCAGAAAGTACTTCAGGTTTTGTGGGCCCTGTGGTCTCTGTCATAACTCTGCAGTTATACTCAAAGCAGCCACAGATAATACATAAATGAAGGAGGGGTGCGGTCTCCAATAAAATGTTTTATTTATGGACTCTCAAATTTGACTCTTGTATAACTTTCGCAGAACAAAATATATTTTTGATTTGGTTTTTTTCCTCCCAACTATTAGAAAATGTGAAAACCACTCAATTTGTGGGCTGTGTAAAAATGTGTGGCTGGTTGGATTTGGTCATGAGTTGGAGAAGGAAATGGCAGCCCATTCCAGTATTCTTGCCTGGAGAATTCCATGGACAGAGAAGGTTGGTGGGCTATACAGTCCATGGGGTCACAAAGAGTTGGACATGACTGAGTTACTCACACTTTCACTTATAGTTCTCCAGCCCTCGAGTTAAAGCCAGACTGCCAGACTCTGCTGTGTGACCTTTGGCAAATGGCTAGACCTTTCTGGGCTTGCGAATTCTCACCTGTAAAATGGGGATGATAATGACTGGACTTTGAGAATGTAAAATCGTACAGCAGCTTTGAAAAACAGCTGTTGGCAGTTCTTCAAAAAGTTAAACATAGAGTTATCATATGACCTAGCCACCCCATCCCAAAGTATGTACTCAAGAGAAATAAAAATATACATTTACACAAAAACGTGTTCATAGCAGAGTTTTCATGACAACCAAAAAGTGGTAACAACCCAAATGTCTATCAACTGATGAATGGATAAAGCGGTCTATCTATACAACTAAATAGTTCCCAATCATAAGAAATGTCGTACTGATTCATGCTATAATGTGGATGAACCTTGAAAACATTAAGTGAAAAAAGTAAAACATACAATATCATATGATGCAGTTTATGTGAAATGTCCAGAATGGGCAAATCCATGGAGACAGAAAGTAGATTAGGTTGCCAGAGCGTGGGAGTAGGAGAGTGACAGCTAATGGGTTAGGGGATTTTCGTTGGTTGACTATGTCATGGGTGGGTGGCAGGGGACTGCCAAGGATGGGCCTCTGACTCCAAGTGAGACAAGGGCCCACGAGGGCTCTGAGCGGGGGCTGACCCTCCCTGACCTAGGCTACAGTGACACTTGCTGTGTGGGGACTGAGGCCCCAGCCCTGCCCAGCCTCACAGACCTCTGCTTCCTCCCACAGGACCAGCTGGGGGCCTCCATGGGCGCCTGAAGGCAGGGCGCCAGGGCCGCGGGCACGAGCATGGTGAGACACCAGCCCCTGCAGTACTATGAGCCGCAGCTCTGCCTCTCCTGCCTCACGGGCATCTATGGCTGCCGCTGGAAGCGCTACCAGCGTTCTCATGATGACACCACTCCGGTGAGCCGTGCTGGGGGCGGGGCCAAAGGACCAGGACCGGGGAGGGGGCGGGGCCCGGGGGCCTGGGGGCGGGGACTCAGCTCGGTCTCTGCTGTGTGACCTTGTGGTTTCAGTTTCTCCCGTAAAGTGGGCCTGTGGAAGTTCTCAGCTCTACCTGACTAGATGGGCAAGCAAGTAGGCCATCCTGTCATGGGTGTAGCCCTCCTGAGGGTGTGGGGGCCGGCTTGCTCGTGGAGCCCTAGGCAGGGTGGGCTGCTCCAAGAGAGAGGTGTTCCCCCCTCGGTGAACAGAAGTTCTCAGCTTCCTGGCGGATCCCGGCGGGCAGGCAGGTGGCCAGAGGAGAGGGTGGGCAGCTGGGCCAGGCCATCAGGAGCCTGGGAGCTGGCAGGGCCATGGCCTGGCACCAGGGCCCAGTCACCTGAGCCACACACGCCTGCCAGGGCTGGCAGCAGGTGCTCTGCCGGATACAGAAAGCCTCCTCAGTGTCCGGCTCCCCAAGCCAGATCTCACACTGCACTTCCGTCCCTGGGGCGCCATCAGCCCCAGTGGATCTAGTTTCGTCTCTGAAGGAACCCAATTCCTCCACGAGGGAACAGAGAGAGAGATAAATGGTGTTTATCTAAGAGCTTTGCTGCCTGAAAAACAACTTTCTCCTCTCTCCTGCTTGTCTGAACAAAGAGGCCAGCCTCCAAAATCAGCCAGTCCCAAAACAGGCTGGAGTGACCAGGGGCGGAGGTCAGAGGCCAAGCATCGCTGGGCTACCTGCATGTGGAGGTTGGAGAAGCTTGTCCGCCTGTCTGCCTTCCTTCCCTGCCTGTGATAGTAGGGACGAGGGGACAGAGTGCTAGACTGAGACGGGAACCTGGGCTCATCACCCTCAAATGGTGAGAAGCAGGTACCACATGGTGGGCACCTGGCCTGATTCACTGCCATGACCCCACTCAAGCACACAGGAGACGGTACACCCAACTGAGGCAAGGGAGAGAAGGGCCCTGCCCAGGGCAGCCTGGCTGTCTTCTCTGCTTTGCTCCGAGCTCTGTTCTTCCTGAGACGGTGGACAGAAGACAGCAGGGCCTCCACGTGTCAGGAAGGCAGAAGCTCGCAGTTTGCTGGCACCCAGGTGTGTCTGTCTGTGTGCCGGGTGCTAAGCTGAGCTTGGACACACAGCCACCCCTGTTGCTCCCAAGCCTGTGAGCTAGATGTCATCGCTACCACGTCCCACCTGGGGCAACAGCCAGGGACCTTGTGACCAGGCCAAGGTCGCAGAGCTGGAGAGGGGCAGAGCTCAGATCTGGTCTGCATGGCGTGGGTCGAGCACTCTTGGTGGGGCTGGGGTGGGGTAGGAAGACAGCTGAGGCTGAGGAAGGGAGGAGAAGGATGGCTGGCCTCCTAAGAAGGAAGCACTTGGCCATCAGACACCAGAGGAAGCCGCTCTCATGGGGCACCTCACACGTCTTGGTGGGCCCAGGGCCAGCCAGTCACAGGCTGTGGAGTCAGGAAGTGATGGGTCTTGGCTGGGGCCAGCACAGGGCCCAGACTGGGGGAAGTGGTGGGTGAAGCCAGTTTTGAGCTGACTGGGGGCCCAAGTGGTGTAGGCGTCATAGATGCCAAGGCCTGGGTGCCAGGTATGGGGCAATGGCAGGAGGCTGCAGGCCAGGAGCCAGCTTGGCAGCAAGAGGGGAGAGGGTTTGCAGCAGCTGCAGGTAGCAGGGCCTCTGCAAAAAGGGCTGGGCTCACCTCAGGCAACCCGAGCCTCGCTGCCCACCCCACCCCTCCCTAGTCAGCTCCTGCTTCCCCACCCACTTCCTGGGTTCCCACCTCAGCCCACTCTTTTCTCTCTTCTCCCCAGGACTGTGATGGGCTCCTGGCCTGACTCAGTGAAGGACCAGTGTCTCAGAGTCAGGGCTGGTGCAGAGAAACTGTAACCTAAGTTTTGCTGAACAGCTGGAGGCCCAGAGTGAGCCCTGGACTTGCAGGCTGGGTGGTAAAGGAGAACCCCTGGGGTCTAGGGGGTGAAGGAGAGGCCTCCGCCAGGAGAAGGAGGTCCAGCTTTGGGCCTCATCCTCACCTTCCCTTCTTCCTTTGGGCACCCCTTACCACCCCCCAACCCCTGTTTCCCCCTCAGGACCTCTTGGGGGAGCCTCTTGTGCCTCCAAGTCAGGGAAACCTAGGGTCAGGTACCTCTTGGGCCTCATCTGTGAGATGAGGTGACAGACAGGTGGTGGTGAGTCACGGAAGCCTTCGTCCTCAGGCTGGGGATGAAGTGTGAGAGTAACAGTTAATGTTTGTCGAGCACATATTGTGGGCAGGGAGCGGATGACTTCTTACAGGCATGGCCCCGTTGATTGTGGGGCATGACAAACACCCGGTGGGGCATGTTTAATTGTTGTGCCCTGATTATGGATGGAGAAATCAAGGCTTGAAGCCCTGTCCCACCTGGAGTCCATGATAGATTTGCAGCGAATCTTAAGAAGTTGGAGGCTGCCGGGAGACAGGCATGTTTTGAGTCTGGGTGTGTTTAAAGGAAAGCTTGCAAGGATGTTATAGCCAAATGCTCCGGGAAACAAACTCACTCAGAAGGACAACATGGATAATGGAGTGCAGTTTATTATACCAGCGGGTCCGAGGCAGAGTTTCCTCTTTAGCCAGGGACCCCAACCTTATATACCTTAAGTGTACTGCTGAAGCCCACATCCCCAAATTCCTTAAACCTAGCCTGGAAAGTGTTAAAGGGAGATACAATCAGGTTACAGCCATGATTCATAGTCAGAAGGGTCAGCTGGTTATACAGTGTAGCCTACACCAATGGGGGCCATAAAGATTACAAAGGTGATTGACCACACGAGAGATTATTACATTCTTTTTGGTGGCGAGAAATCTTGGTATGGAATCTGGTATTGATCAGTCCGGGAGGCCAGTTGGGCCATAGGTATGTTATCCCCATGGCTCCCAGGCACATGGTCCACAGCTCACTGAAAGTGCAAGACGGAGTTGCCTTCTTTTTCAAGATGGGGTCAGCTCGGCCTGTTCCTTTCCTCCCTCAAGGAGAAGAAGGGGAATGGGGAGGACTTGGGAGGTTGCCTGATAGAGAGAAAGAGCACAGGACCAGGAGCATTTGGGACAAGTTGAAGAGTGGCTTGAATGCCAGACTAGGCATCTTCAGTGCTTCCCTGATTAAGAGCTGACCCTGCAGAACTGGAATAGATCCTGGAGGTGGAGGAGGGGGCTGGAAGCCTGGGAAGGCATCCCCTTTTCTCCATCCAGGCTGTTCCCCTTCCTTCCTGCCCCTCTTCCACATTCCCACCTCCTCCAACCCTCCCCCCATCACACACATTTGACAAATAAGGAAACAGGAAACTGAGGACCAGAGAGGTGAAATGGCATCTTCTCCCTCCTGCCAACACTGAGGGAGTGGAGGAGCCTGGCAGCAGGAGGCCAGCTCACTCGATAGCCAGGAAGGGAAAGCAAAAGCTTTTTATAACTGGGGTAATTAATTGGTTGTTGTCTGTGACTCATTACTCTAATATTGCCAATTAAGGGCAGGATAGGACAGAAGACGGTTCTCAGGCCATCCCCACAGGGCCCCCTAAAGACTGCATCCGCGGGAGGCAGCACAGTGTCAAGACCAGATTCACTATCGGAAGAGGGATATAGGTCAGAGGCCTGGAGGAACTTCCAGTCTGAGACATTGAAGGAGACAGACAGTGACAGTCAACACTCTTGCACTTCTACATTTGCCTTTTCAAGGGTGTTTCAAGCTTTTTTGATGTCCTTCATTGTATAGATGGGGCTCCAGGAAGAGGAAGTGATTTATTCAAGCCAAGGAGTTGCTTGCTGCCCCAGTCCTGTGCCTTCTCCCCTGTTCACTCCAAACAGTCTTGTCTGGGATGCACTGGTCAATCAACGAACCTGTCCTGACACCTGCCCTGAGTATATCAAACCTGGTGCCTCCCCGAAGGTGGGGAGCAGACCAGAACTGTCGTCCAGACCACCCAGGGTGATCATTGCCAAGGCCAGGGACATCCTGGGTGGGAAAGCTTGTCTGAGCTGGTGTCAGAGAGTCAGCTGTCATGTCATGCCAGCATGGGGAAAGCAGGACAGCTGCGTGTTACAGGAGTGTCTTATGTTTGGGATCTGAAAGCAATTTGGCCTAGTGCAGCTCCCGATGTAAGGAGGGGAGGCGCATGGCCAAGGGAACCTGAGCCTGCACTCCATCCTGGGAGGTGGAGGCCCAGTCGGACTCAGACTGTGCAAGGACCACCCTGGTTCCATCATGGAGAAAGTGCTGAGGGACCTTGAGTGGAGGTGGGGAGGGCAGGGAGCCAGAGAGAAGGCTGAGGCCTCAACTAGGGGGAGGGGTCCACAAAGAAGCAGCTAAGGGAGGGATTCTAGAGACACCTAGACAGTGTCATCAGCTGACTGGCTACAAAAGAGTGTTGATGATGCCTCCCATCATTCCATGACTTCTACCTGGCTGGATGAGGCCGTTCCTGGGGTCAGAAGTCCATGCTATGCCCAGGGGTGCATGAGAGGGCCGTGGTCTCAGTAGAGTCCAGGAGTAGTATAGTGGGGGAAGAACAAAGACAAAATAAATCCCCTTCCCCAGGCCTGCCACTGCCTACCTCTTCCGACGGGAGCCCCTCCCACCATGGCGGGAAGACACCCGCCGTGGGGGAATCCATCGGCCCCCTTTCACCCGCACACCCAGGGTGGCCTACCTCACCCCCTCCACCACTGCCCTCTGCTCTACTGTCCCCCTTGCCTGGAATGCCTTCTCTCTGGTCTCTGTCCCTCAAAGCTCATCGCAAATGTCTCTTCCTCTAAGGAGTCTCCACTTCAAACAAAGGAGGCAGGCCTCGTTCCCTTCCTCTCCCCTTCCCCTGGACTCCTGCAGCAGCACCCGGGGCCCTGGGCGGCTCAGGTGGGTGATGACTGTTTCTCAAAGGAGGGCCTTGGGCACAGAGGGAGAGGATGACTGAGCAGGTGAGTTGAAGAGCAAG